CTCTCAGCAGCCATTATCCCTCACAAAGACACAGAGAAAAACAGAAAGCAGTTAAAAATGACAGTTACTGGAATAACAGTCACAACAGAACGGAATGTCTCTCTCATTTGACTCAGTCAGCCAATCGCATGGGGCTACTGCCAAAGGGAAAACCCCATGTTAAAAATATGCAGTAATTTAACATAAGTGAACATTCCCATTTCAGGATATTGAACCATTATCCTTGACAAAAGGGAAGATAATAATTTGGAAGATGACATGGCTGGTTGGCTTGGACATTGAACGGGAGTGCTCTGCACTACAACATTGTGCTGCAGATCCAACTTCTGCTACTGAATGTAAAACACGTAAGGAAACATCATTTGTGCACTTCCTTTCAAGTCCCTGTGAATTACAGATTAATTTGCACTTTGTGGAGAATAAATGTAAAGTCTTCGGATCAATGAATCCCCACCTTCCCTCATAGATTAGAATGTATGTGGCAGAAGAAAAGGCCTAGCTTTAAATACTGGAGTGACTGCTCAGAACAAGAAAATCCTAGTTAAAGGCTTTGAGTAATATATTTGCTTTGATCATTCTAATGACCATTTTATAACTCGTACAATGCCTAATGTGACAGACTGGAAACAAGGGAAGCTTCTTTGCTCTGAGACTGAATATTTCATGACAAAAAAATGGTCTCGCATAGCATTTTTTAAAACTGATATTGAAAAAGAAAAGGACAACGGCTTGAAGGCATTCAACTCCCCACCATCACCCAGTTTCCTCTGAGAATTCTTAACAGAATAATAATAAAAAAACATATGTTATTGTGTCTATTATGTTTTGATAACTACAACCTGTATAGCTTCAGGGGACTTTAGCAGTGTGTCACATTTATAAATAGGAATGTATCACTGGTAGAATTCCGAACTTACACAATTTCTTTGATAGCTGAGGTTTAATATAGTTCTGTGTGTCATTAAAAATGAAAGCAGTGTTAGCAGGTCGTGATTCTGACATCTTGGCCTCTAGTGCCTGATGGTCCTACTGGTCTGCCACCAAATTGTTTCAGCATTCACTGATATGTGGCTCTTCAAAGGGCCTTTTTTCAGCTGGAACTCACCAGAACTCAGTTCCTGCACCTCTCAGGTGGGCGCCATTGCCATTATAAGAGAACAAGGGAGGCGTTCACAGTGACTTCTGGCGCCTCTTTTTCTAGAAAAATAGCACTGGCTCTTCACACATCCCACAAGCTGTATTCTAGTATCTACCCCACCACCCACCCAGTAACACACTGATTTTCGCTAACCCTGGCAGTGCTTAAATGTCTACAACTGCATATTAATATGTACTCCAGTTTTTATATCAAACCATATCATCCACTACAAGTGAGTCAAAATCCTGCTCTTGTTTCCGTCTGCTTACAGTGGTCTCCTAGATAACTTAGAAATTTTCTTCATTCCCAATTTTATCCTCTTGGTTTCTGAGTTTTCCAGTCAGCTTTGCCATCTTGGCATAGTCCATCAACTTGGTTTGCCATTCTTCTCTGGTAGGGACTTTGTCATCTTTCCAACTATGGGCCAATAACATCCGTGCGGCTGTTGTTCCATAGATAAAAAGTATTTTCTGCTCCTCCTGTAATTCCTAATAAAAAAGCTTCTGGTTTTTTAACAAAAGTTATTTTAAACATTTTTTTCCATTTCATTATATATCATCTCCCAGAAAGCTAGTTTTATCTTACAAGTCCACCACATATGATAAAAGGTACCTTTTATTATTGTTCTCAACCTCCCATTGTTCTGAACCTTCCATCAATTCATTAGCTTGTGATCCCCTACTTTGTTTTGATGTTTGTTTCCATTGTGTGTGCTTGTGGTTTTGGCGTGGTTTGAGCTGGCACTGTTTGTGTGAGCAAAACTCAACTGAATAAGATGATGTATGAAATGACTCTTGTTGCCCGTTCAGGCAGCCACTTCCCCGCACCCTTCTTGGCACACCTGAATGCAAAGCAAAGCTTCCTGCAAACCAGGAAGCAAAGCTTCTTGTTTCCTATTTTGTCCAAACCTGGAATAAAGCCAGGCTGGTTTAAGAGCAAGCCATGTTGGTTTAAGAGCCCATCTTGTTCTGAAGCTGGTAACCATGGTTTCCTGATTTCGACGAAATAAGGACTATGGCTAATTGAATACTTCCACATTTTATTTGGGTGTACCATGAAGGGTGCTGGAGGAGACTCTTGAGAGTCCCATGGACTGCAAGAAGATCGAACCTCTCCATTCTGAAGGAAATCAGCCCTGAGTGCTCACTGGAAGGACAGGTCCTGAAGCTGAGACTCCAATACTTTGGTCACCTCATGAGAAGAAAAGACTCCCTGGAAAAGACCCTGATGTTGGGAAAGATGGAGGGCACAAGGAGAAGGGGACGTCAGAGGACGAGATGGTTGGACAGTGTTCTTGAAGCTACCAACATGAGTTTGACCAAACTGCGGGAAGCAGTGGAAGACAGGAGTGCCTGGCATGCTCTGGTCCATGGGGTCATGAAGAGTCGAACACGACTTAACGACCAAACAATAACAACCATGAAGGGAGAACAGAAAGGCTCAGTCATATCTTGGCATATTAAGCCAAGATATGGTTGTTCCTTATGTAGCATTTTTTTCCAGTAAAGATGTATTAATATTTAGGAGTACATGGGTTTACATTCAAGCATAAATTTGGCATTCATGAAATTAGAGTGTGTGGAGTACTTATAAGGAGAGAAGAAGGCTTGTCTTTTTGGAGTATTTAATCTGCATGTTTCTGTTGAGCAATGGAGTACCTACGTGTTAATTTTGTATGAACCTCCTTCTAGCTAGCATGAAATTCTATGGTGTGTCTGTTCCATGGAGCTGTTCCTGTGAGTTAACTGGGGCTGTTTTGAACTATGGAAGTGACCTATAATAAGTCTAAGGGTCAACCTTCATGTTACACATAGTGCATTGTGTCTCTTTCTTAAATTAATATTGGGGTCACAGCACATGGGAAAGGGAGCTTTGTGCCTTCTCTCCCTAGCTGTGAAGTCCCAAATATCGCCCCACCTTTCATAATATCTGTGCCAGTAGGCTCTTTATCATTCTCTTTTCAAACCTTGTAACTGCATGAGGGTGGGCAGTATCGGAGGGGAATTGAAAATGGGAAGGTTGGAGACAATAATAATAAATAGAAGCTGATATGTGCTTTAATCCGTTTTTAGCTTAACAGTTTATATTATTTTTATTTTTTAAAAACCACACCTGCTTTATTGACATTTTTAAAGTTTTAGAAAGCCTTTTGTGTTCATCATAAATTGTGACTTTTTCAGCAGGGGGCCGGTCCACTGTCCCTCAGACTTTGTGGGGGGCCAGACTTTATTTTGAAGGAAAAAATGAATGAATTCCTATGCTCCACAAGTAACCCAGAGATGCATTTTAAATAAAAGCACACATTCTACTCATGTAAAAACATGCTGATTCCTGGACCGTCTGCAGGCCGGATTTAGAAGGCGATTGGGCCGGATCCGGCCCCCGGGCTTTAGTTTGCCTACCCATGATCTAATCCTTTCCCTGCCCACCCCCCTACTATCCTTAAGAGGGTCTCAGAGAGTAGCTGGAAGTGGGGAGGCAGAAAAAGGTCCTCCTTTCCTTCCACGCTGCAGTTTTAATCTGAAATTTTAGATGCATTCCTGCATCCAGAGCTCAGAAACTGATCATGCTAATGAAATTCCCTGTCGCAAAATGCGCCTAGAACAATGGGAGTTTCGAGTACTAATTTAAACCACCAGTTAATGCAATATATGGACATGATCCAAAGTTCTGTGTGCCATTATCCATACAGGGTAACACTGTTTGTGTAGTGGAAATTTCCCTGCCTATGACATCGGGTGCTCAGAGCAGCTGCATTTGTCTAACCCCCAGGGAATTGGGGTTAATGTAGCCCCCGCCCTCCCCATCCCCATCTGTAGTATGCTGCAGGGTGTGTAATGGAGAATAATGATAAAAATAACATCATTCCAGGAACAAAATTTATGTGTCTCAGGTGATTATCATGGTTTTGAATTTGTCTCATTGGAACGTCAGTCCCTGCAGCGCTAGAATGCTTCCTGATATCATGTGAGGGCTTTGGTTCAGAACAAGCTCACAGCAGAACGTCACCTCTTGAACTACTTGTGTAACTTGCTCTCTCCTAACAAGTTTTCCCCAGACGTATCTCGCTTTGCCTTTGAGGTTACTACTGAAACCCAGAAGTCTAAACAGAAATAGAATAGCGGCACAGAGCTCAAGGCTGCTTCCTGCAGTCTGCAAATGGACTCTGGAAATGTTCTGCTCTATCTGTGAACAAAGACATTGTGGGGACTATTTCACCGAATTTCTCCAGGGAGGGGATAAATTGTTTCAACAGTTTCTCAGGGATGGGAGAAGAACTCCTTCCTTCGTCGCTTTCAGTTTTTTGTTTGTAACACGAAGGGCAGCAGCAGCAAATGTCTTGCCAGTCTATCTGCCATTTTGCATTCTTTATAATCCTCCATAATGCATAATGGGGCACATATTGTAGCTGCTGGGGCAGGGTGTTATATTTGGATAAAATTGGGAAGTGGGAAATCGAAGGTGAGAGGCAAAAGAAAAATCTCAGAAGTTTCCTCTGAGAAATCTTAGTTCAGCTCTATCTGGAGCAAATATTCAGCAATGAAAAAGGAATTGCACTCCTAGACACCACATTTTGGACTTTAACCCTAAATACACTTTTTAGTAAGGGAATCCCACCAAACACAGTAGGGTTTTACTTCTCAGTAGGACTTTACTTCTAAGCATGCACACAATTGCACTGTAAGCAGTTCCAAAAGTTACCAGGAATATATGAACCAGCCTGGGGTGGGGCCAGAACTAATCTGTATGCTTTAATTTCTCTTTTGTTTTATTGTGAAAAGCGATCAGTATTGGTTGTTTACTTTGGGGGCTGAAATTTTTTTTTTAATACCACTAACTGTGCAATTGCATTTCTCTTTAGAACCATAGGCTACAAAAAGAAATACGTAAAGGTTCCCCATGGCCACATGTGGGTAGAGGGTGATCATCGCGGACACAGCTTTGACAGCAATGCTTTTGGCCCGGTAAGCCATAACCATTTTCTCCATGTGTATTTTATACCACATAATATACAGTAATAAAAACTTGTGGGGATTTGATTCCCGAAAGTTTATTTTAAAAGACAAAGTTCTGTAGGGGGCAGGCCAGTTTGTCTCATCAAGCTGTTGCAGGATGTGGGGAGAACTTTGACGTGTGTGGTTGGTTGTCTTGTTTAAGAACACTTAAAGCAGGGATAGGAATGGTTGCAGCTCCCATAATCTCTGACCATTGACTATGTCGGCGGGGAATAATGGTGGCTGGAGTTCATCAACATCTGGAGGACCACCGATTCCCTGTCCTTGCCTTAGATAAACTTATTCCTACACTGGTATATCAGAACAGGGGGGGGGTACTGTTTAACAGCAGAAAATTCTTATCACTCTGAAATAATTGATGCTGTAGGAGTTTTTTGACTTTGAGTACTATTACTGTGGCTTGATATTTATTTAGTGCCAACGGTGTGCTAGCAGCCAAGTAGGACACAGAAAAGCCCAGAGCTTTGTATAATATACATTAGGAAGACTTGCCTGGGACAGAGATGAGGGGCTGACAATGACAAGTGAGATGGGAATATTGAAGCAGAGGCTGTGTGATGCCCCTAAGATAGTCTGGGAAGTCTTTTGAAGAGAAGTGGACCTTGCAGAGGGCAACTTATAGAAAGGTAACTATACTCTGTAATGGCTGTTTCAACACGGCGATCACTTGATTTTGTGATTCTGGAAGGGAGGTAGCCAGGTGAACAGAGATGAGAAGAATAATCAGAGAAATGGAAATGACAGAAGCCATGGATAAGTCTTTATGGAGAAAAGCTATGATAAGATGTGATCTTCAGAGTAAAATGGGTGCAGAAAGAATGTAAGTCCAAAAGCATTCAGCGTGCAAACTGTGTCTAGATTCTCACGGACAACAACAGCACCAGTCTATTTTGATATGTGTGTTGTAGCTGGGAGCAGATTGTTGGAATTGGTGATGGGTTTCCAGTATAAGTAAACAAGATGATAAGGTTAAGATGTCTTTGGATGGAGATTGGGACCATGGCAGAAGGGGCTAAATATGGAGGTGGGGGCAATTCAGAGACAGAACAAACTGAAGGCATTCCAGTCACTGTGTGACATAAGCAATTATAGAAGACAGTGTGTCTTGCATAAAGTAGCTAGCTGCTAGAGTGGCATTGGAAATGACACTGTACAGCAGGATGCATCCGTCTCATTAATGCTGCTTTAGGTGACATTTTGATACCCTGGTGTATACCACTCCCTGTGTCACTGCATAAATGAATGAATGCCATCAATGCATGCTATGAATTGATGGAAATGTCCTTCAGCACTCCAATTTGTAGATCAAGGTTCTGAAAGTGTACACCCCTGCTCTTTGTGAAGCCTGCCTCCCCACTTTGTAATTCTTTCCTTTTTTCCCATAAGTGTGGAATGGACGAGCAAAAGGAAAAGGGCATTGTGGTGGCAGAAGTGAACCCTGTCTCCTATTTTTCTTATAACAAAGGTCACTCAAGTGCAAAATGTTATCTATGTCAAAACTCTGATTTTGGGGTACTAATGCATTTCCCCATGAAACAGCATGTATAAATACTATCTTTGGAAGATGGATTGCGTTTAAGGCCATAATCTACTGACCTTCACGCTCTGCTGTCAATTTTAGCCAAAGAGCTTCCATGATGTAGATAAAGCCAGACGTGGTTAAACTTGTAGACAAGCATAATGAGCTTCATGGGACACAGATTGAAATGGTTAAAAAAAGAAGCGCGCGCACACACACACACACACACACACACTGGGCAGCTACAAATATAACTGTTAATTACTTTGCAGCGCTAGACTGAATTAAGAAAAGCAGGCTTAGTGTATTTTATTATTCAGAGAATAGCTTTGTTCTGTGCAAAGGAGCAAATGTACTGTAATGCTGTTACTTTGATATTGCCTGGTTTAATCTAGATTTTTAAACAAGCCGTCAAAGCTATTTATAATGACTTTTTAAAAAAACCACCCTGTACTGAACTGCAGCCAATAACCATTAAAAGAACTTATGGCTCCCCATTCCTTTTCTTAAAAGTGGGAAGTTATATGTTGAGTGATTTTGCTTCCATTTGTATAGTACTTTTCTTTAAATTAACCCATGCTTCTAGCAGGTTTTAGGAAACAATATTACAGTGTAGTTTAACTGGAAAACTAATAAGGCACAATTTTACTGAGGTTTTTGTAGGTTTGCTTTTGCCTTGGCTTAGCTTAGCATGGCAGCCATAAGGACTGAAGTGGCTGCAAGCTTCTCTCCCAGAGCATGCACTGAACCCAGGCTTAGCTTAGCGTATTGTGCGAACCATGCCACTGAATGGATGCAGAAAGTGTTTGTAATGACCGCTCCCTGCATAAAACGGGGGGCGACCTTTGCGTGCACGTGTGCAGCCCCTAGATCTGGAGCGGCTCCATCAGCATAGGCTTGGCTTTGCCTTCCCTCAGGTGGGATACCTGGAGGTCTCCGCCTACCTCAGTCAGTTGTCCAATCCCACCTGGGGGAAGCATTGCCAAGGAGATCAGGCCAGGTAGAGGAGGGATTACCTGCCCACACAATAGAGGGAGGATCTTACCTGGGAATCCTCACTTGGCTCCAGAGCTTCTCCCACCCTACCCACTCTCAGTTAATGCCTTATTTTGCAGGTTAACTTTTCTTCACAGGTATGCGGGCGCTGCTACGTTAAGGTCGCTGTCAAAGGGCCGGAAAGGAATTTCCCTGCATTGGCAGGTTTCGCCTTTCTCATAGCAAAACGTCACAACTTTGGCGGTATCAGGCCTTGGGCAGAATCCTTTAGTCCATCTTCCTCTTTGCGGCAGCGATACCAGGGTTCCCCGTTAAAGGGGTTTCTGAAGGGAGGCTTTGACCGTACGCCGAAAGGTCGTCATTGCTCTCCCCTGCGGCGGCGGCATAACGGGGGCGGCTATCTCTGCTTGAACATATGTTCTCCAGAGCCGGCCCATCGCCCCACACAAACACTGGATAACCCTGATGCTCCCTAGGTCCCTGGCTGGGGACTGGGGAGGGAGAACGCCCAATGCCTGAGCCAAGGTCTGCCCACATTTGAAATGTAATAAAATTGTGGCCAATTTAATCCCATAGCACGTTGTCTTGAGTCGTTCTTCCACATGACGGGGGGGGGGCGCTTGGGATCTGGGGACTCCGCCTGTCCACGCAATAGGTATCACTTTAGATGTGGATATAAGTGTTGGAATTGCAGTATCACGCGGTAGGTGGAAATATGGCAACACTAGGAAATCCAGACTAGAACGTACCCAATGAATGGCTTTTCAGCCTTTCTTTGAAGACATTCAGTGGTGCAAAGCCCAGAACCACATCAGGTAATTCATTCATTTGTCAAACTGCTCTCAATATCAAGATGTTTCTCCTGGTACACAATCAAAACCTACCTTGCTGTAACTTTAGCTCATTGGATCTGGTCGTGTTCTCTGTGGCAGCAAAGAACCAGTCTTTGCTCTCCCCAGTGTCATAATCCTTCATGTATTTGGAGAAAATTACAATGTCCCCTGCCCCTCGTTCATTTCTTCTCCAGGATAAACATACTCAGTTCCTCCAAACTTTCCACAGAAGAGTTGTTTTCCAAACTGTGGATGATCTTCATTGCCCTCTTCTGAACCCTATTTCTGTAATATACAGACTCTATGGCCTTCTTAAAACGTAGCCTCCAGAGGTGGACACAGTACTTTAGATGAAGTCAAATATGAGGTCTCATAGAGAAAATTCACCTCTTTAGCTATCACTATTGCACACTTTATACATTCTCCAAGCACAGAGTCCACAGGTGCTTTATGAAAGTTGACCCGAAACTCAAATTTCACTGACATCGTTGTCTGTAGTTTTGTTTGCTATGTTATTGTGGAATTGTTCTCAGACAGTCAAATTACCAGTGCAGTCTCCAAACTATTTGCGCTGGTGTACTGAGACTATATTGGTTCTGTTGAAGTAGGTCAAAGTAAACCTTCTTAATCTGTTTTATGAACTGCACTCTGAGGAAGTAATAAAATTCATTTAAAAACCCTTTGGGTGTGTGTGTTGATGAATTCTAGATTTTGGAGTTGATTTTTCTATTTTAGAGGTTTTTCACATAACTTAAATTTGCAAAAAAAATGTCTCACATTCATGAGGAATTTGAGGCCAAGCCTGTTTAAAGGGGCCTCATGTATGTGTACTTAGCCCCATCTTTCAATATGAATTCCTCCTGCCCCTTTTTGTGTTGAAAATAATATCTGAAGTGTGGTGCTTTATTTATTCATCAGGGTTCTGAATTCCATAGGTAACCTCCATAGAGAAGACTCCTTGCTGCCAATATTACTCTCAATGTGATAGTAGTGGCAATGGATGGGGCAGGATGAAAAATTCAACTTTGAAAGTGGAGTTATCTGTGTAGCCCTGGCTGAGTCCTTTCAATAGGCTTGCCCTCTATGTGCAACTAATGTGTGAAGAGGACCCTATTGTGTTACATGTTCTATACATAATCCATCTGAAGGTATGTGGCTATCTCAGCTGAAGTTGGCAATGTAAACAATGTTTCGTGTGGTTACATTGCCACTAGTCAAGTTGCTCACTAAAATACTGTGCTTGAGCACATGAACTAATGTGCCATAAGGGCATTTAATTAATGGAGAATCTTTCCTCCTGGAGTAATAACAGTTTGCCCTGGCAAGTGGTTTACTGCAAGGCTATGAAAGTTGGCAAACCTGATGAGGCCAGGCAGGCTAGCTGTATATGTATGAACTTCAACCAGGGGTGAAACTAGGCTTTATTTCACCCTGGTCAAAGACCCAGTTTGGCAGCCTCCCATGTGCCACAGAAATAAAGGCTACGAAACAAAAGAGAGATAAAAACTAATAACAAAGAGAATAGAAATCTGACTGGTGTTGAGAAAAGAATAAGAGCAATTCTAGCCAAGAGATCATCAGACCCTTTGGCGAACTTTTCT